AGGAGTGATTGGAAAAATGAGCTTGATGATACCAGCTGGCATTTCTCCTCTTATGTATGATTGCAGTCTTAATTTAGTTGTATCTGTTTACACGAGTATACTTTTGTATGCATGCTTGCAATTTCTAGCAGCCCTCTGAATTTTTAGTTCTTTAGTATTTTAAATATTTTTTAGTTATCTTTACACAGAGGGTTTTTAGCACAAAGATGAGAATGGAAGTCATTTGCTCTTGTGACAGATTCAGTGTAGCACCCTGGAATGAAGAGCACTGAATAAGGGATGTTTGGTAATAGTGTTATCTTAATTATGTGTCTTTATAAGGCTGGTTTTGGAACTCATGCAGTAAAATAAAAATGCTGTAAGGCCTTGCCAGGGTATCTTTGAAAAGAAGTTCTTTTTTGAAAGGGCTTCTTCCTTTCTAAATAAATAAAGAACAGAGGAAGACTTGCCAATTCACTGTCTGATCTCTAGAACTTCCTGTTAAGCCCAAAATATAGTGCAAGAAACATGTTTGGGCTGCTATGTTAGAGGCTTGATGATGTGGTAGGAAGGCTATATGTAACATCAAAGAATGATCTTGCGATACTTCCGAAGCATGACTTCTGCAGCTCCAAGTGAAATAATGGGTGCTCATTTTTTCTCTTGAATGTGGCAAGTTTAATAGCCTTGGATTGTTTTTCATTAGTGGTGTTCCAAAACTTCTCTTCATAGTGCATGTCCATGTGCATTTTTCATTATCCTTCCCCCCCTTTTCTTTCTCAAAGCCAGCTCCTTGGTAATTCCCTGCTGGGTATTTTTGGAACAGTGCTGAATAATTTGGAACCTGATCAAACTTACCAACAAGGCTCTTGTGCTAAATGAATGTTTCTGTTCTTTAGCATTCTGCTAAATGGGTCATTTTAACTTCCAAAACACAGCTATGGGCTTGAGTTAGAATAACTGCAAACTCCTTTTTATGACCAAAATGCTGAAAGGTTTGATGCTTGGCAAAAACCCACTGTTCTGGTTGGTTTTGTTTTGTGATGGGTAAGGCCATTTTAAGGGACGTGGTGGCGCTGCGGGTTAAACCACAGAAGCCTCTGTGCTGCAAGGTCAGAAGACCTGCAGTCGTACGATCGAATCCACGTGACGGACTGAGCCCCCATCTCTTGTCCCAGCTCCTGCCAACCTAGCAGTTCGAAAGCATGCAGACAGAATGAAAAAATGTGAGTAGATAAGTACAACCATGGTGGGAAGGTAACGGCGTTCCGTGTCTAGTCGCGCTGGCCACGTGACCATGGAAGATTGTCTTTGGACAATAACACTAGCTCTATGGGTTGGAGATGTGCACCACCCTCTAGAGTCGGACATGACTGGACAAATTGTCAAGGGGAACCTTTACCTTTAAGGCCATTTTAAGTTTTAGGCATTATGGTGTTCCCTAAAAGAAGTGAATTAATTCTTTAGAGCAGCAAATGAGCAGAATCATATGTATGCAATTCACTTGACAGCATAATTGTTGGTTCATAAACTTCCCACCCCAGCTACCCTTGCCATTATACAACATTTCCAGAGAGGGCACCATTTTTTTGGACCCAGATTTTAGCATTTTAGAGTGGGGCAAGAGGTACAGTTTTGACTTTCCCCCTGAGGCATGAAAATGCTGAAAGCTGGGCAGATTTTGTGCGAGCATACCTACAAGTACTGGGGTGATAATGGAGAGTATAGAGTGCAGAGAATGCATGTGTGTGCTTGGGAAGTGCCGAAATGTCTAAAGATGAAAGCAAAGGGGAATCAATTGATAATTCTAATTTGTAAATAATACAATTTGTCTTTAGAGCATCCTTTATCAATCTGTTTGTTTGTTTGTTTGTTTGTTTGATTGATTGATTTTATACCACCCATCTGGCTACCCAGGCCACTCTGGGTGGTTTACAATTACAAAATATAAAACAATAGTGCACAAACAATCAACAGCAACTGAAACAATGTGAAGACAATAAATAAAATACAGTAAAAAACAAAACAAAACAAAAAGAGCATGGCAACGAGTTGAGCATATAATTATTAAGAGTATCACTTTATGAAGGTGGTCTAAAGTCTGAGAAGGCCAGTCTCAATAGCCATGATTTTAGTGATCTTTTGAATGTTCCCAATGAAGGGGCCAGACAAAGTTTGGACTGGAGGCTGTTCCACATTTGCGGGATGACTGCTGAGAAGGTCAGGATTCTCAGCCGCTCACCTGGGGAAGATCTTATAGGTCTCCTTTTACATGTATCTTGAGTGGTCAGTCTCATACATTTCCCAATCCAAATAAAGGAGTCCATTCTGATCATTCCTTTTACGATGCCCCCTTTTCTGGGTTCTGAGATATGCTTGAATAGCATGTTGTGCTATTCCAGCTGTGCTTAAAGAAACTATTTATGTGCGGACCCTTTGCATCAAAAAGGAGAAGTGCGTGGTCCTCCAGATGGAATTGAGCTTCAGATCCAATCACCCCTCATCATTGGATATCTCCTCTAGGGTGATAAAGGTTGTAGTCAAAAATCCATCTTAGCTGGTCAATTTCTTCCCTGCTAGTGAATAAGGAAATAAATAAATTAGATGACCTCATTTCAGTTTTTATAGACATTTAAACTAGGCAGAGCGGCGATCCATAGAGCTGGAGTAGAAAATGGCAACTGAACTTGTTGCCTTTGCTTGTAGCTGATGCACATTCGTTTCAGTATTGGAAGGGAGCTTACACACAGTGTATGCACACAACATTTCTTCAGATGCAGATAATGGGCTAGCCTTGTCATGCCAATACCATCCCTTCATTTCTTCCACCCAAACTGAAAATCTGTAAACACTGCTGTGTGCTTAGTTCTTGTCTGATATATGAATGTACAGCTATTGTTAAAAAAAGGAAACTACTGTAGCTATTCTTTCTGAGATCAAGTGTTTGATAAAAATGGCCATCATGGTATTTCAAGAATCTTGCACTGAACTGAGGACTATATCTTCCTCCAGCCATTGGGTGATACTCCTAATTTAGCTGCAACTGACTATCTTTCCTAAAATGTAAACTAAATTTCATCTCAGATTTGTCTGATGTGCAGTTTGTCATGTTTCTTTGTGCCTCTGTGTCTAGCCAAACAGAAGCTATATGCTTTGATATGAGTCGATGAGAACAATCAGTATCTTAACACAGCCTCTTCCACTTTTGCAAGCATTGCTTGCATATAAGCAGAAGTCCCCATTATGGAGATCCAGTTTAGGCTTGTACAGGAGTCCTAAGTACCTCCCTGCACAAGTGAGAAAAAAAATCATACCACTTGCACTACTTTCTTTGTGCAAGCTGTTTATCTCATCAGGAATATGGGCAGAATAAGACAACCTAACCCAATGGAAACTCTGAAAGATAACTTCCAGAGATGTTGACAAGTCTTGGGACCCAAGTCCATGTTTGAGTCTTGAGTTGTTTGCCTCCCAAAAACCTTGGGACTCAGTACTTGGTACCAATGACTTCGGTCTCTTGCCCCCCCCCGCCCGCTCCCTATCACCTGTCCAGCACATGCGTGGGTGAAGGCAAAGGAGGCCTGGCTCTGAGAATGTAAGTTGGTCCTGCTGCCTTTGAAGATGGTGATGGTGACAGCAAGTAGGCAGGTGGCAGCAGGGGGAGGTGGTGGGGCGGGAGAGAGCAGGGGCAGGCCCTTAGGGACTCAACAATGTAATTTGGACAAATAGGTCTGAGTTGTGAGTTCAAGTCCTGAGCCCCCCCCTCAAAACCTATACAGTGGGGTCTATACTTAAGAACTTAATCCGTATTGGAAGGTGGTTCTCAAGTTGAAAAGTTCTTATGTTGAATCTGCATTTCCCATAGGAATGCATTGAAAACCATTTAATCCGTATCTGCTCTTTTCTGTCCATAGAAACTACAGTGGAACCTCTACTTAAGAACTTAATCCATTTTGGAATGGTGTTCTTAAGTTGAAACGTTCTTTGCAAGTCATGGTATCTTCAAACAATATAAATTTCCAGCAAAGATATCAGTCCTGTTTTGTGAACTGACTACATCATGTATGAATACCATCAGGTTGAAAACTGAAGATGTGTCTGCTTTCCCACAAATTCATGCTGTAAACAAAAGTAGTATCCCGCTGGATCAAGCCAAACATCTATCTGGCTTAGTTCATGCTACCTGCAGTAGCCAACTGGCTGCCTCTGTCTTTATATTTGTCAAAACAAACAAACAAACAAGCAAGCAAGCAAGCAAGCAAACAAACAAACAATTTCCAATATTATGAGCACACTACCAGTCTTCAGTGCTGTCTCATTCAAAGGATACTGCACCTGCTATTGCTAGTATACATTTTTCTATTTCTCAGAGAACTAGAAAGTGCCAAATAATGTTCTTACATCTGCTCTCAATGGGAAATCTGAGTTTCTACTGGTAAGGCATTCTGTAAGGTTCTGATATAATTCTCCCCGATAGACACACAGCTCATCCCCTGCCTATTGTTTGTGTACAACTGTCAGCATTTGGGGTCATCATGGCCAATGGTCAGTGGTGAAGGAAAATGTAGTCTTTCAATACGAGTTCAGGAACCACTGAAGGACTTCTTGTAATGCTCTTACATGCTGTGAAGTTGCTTCCGACTTAAGGAATCCTATGGACAAGTGACTTTGAAAATTCCCCTTCCTCAACAGCTCTGCCCACCTCTAGTAAACTCAAGGCTGTGGCTTCCTTTAGGGAGCCAATCCATATCATATTTGGCATTCCTCTTTTCCTTCTGCCCTCAACTTCAGCATTATTGTTTTCCCCAGTGAATCTTGATTTGTCACAGTGTGTCCAGATTATGACAACTTCAGCATTATTGTTTTTCCCAGTGAATCTTGCTTTGTCACAGTGTGTCCAGATTATGACAACTGCACTGAAGGTCGATGGAAACTCACTCTTTGTTTTAAAATCCCAGTCTCAGCACTTGTGGACTGATCATTTTGAGTAATGACACAGAATGTATTTTCTATGAAATTAGGTTTGATCTCTGTGTGCTACTGGAAAATGAAAATATATTTGAAACAGAGGCGGGGGAAGAACCTAAACCTTGTCCACTTCTTTCTTACGAAAAGGTAATAATTTCTCTTTTGTTTGTATCTCTGGATTATTGTTTTTAATCATGGGTACTTCAGTATGGTTTCACAGTGCTTATTGTGATGGCTAGTAGATAACACTGTGCACATACATGTATAGAAGCCTTCTTTACATCACGACCAGTCTGACTGGCTGCTACAATTACATATTTTGTTTACTGTGTAATGTGTAACTATGTTTCTTCCTTTCATTACATTAATTACAGGATTGGGAGACTATTTGGTATGTGGGGAAATCATGTAAGAGAACCCTTATCCCTTTCTTTCCTAACTGTGAACCCTTGAAAATTGTCCCCCATCTGCACAGGGAGAAAACCCTTATCCCTTTCTTTCCCAACTGTGAACCCTTGAAAATTGTCCCCCATAAGCTATGAGTAATACTGTAGTTAAAAAGTTACCATTGGCAACCACTGGAAAAGTCCTGATTGGCATGCTGACTTTTCTTCAGGAAAGATAATGGGAAGAAGGCATTTGGGACTGTGTTTGGATGTAATAATTGCGCTGGTGGACCAGTGTGGTTGTGCTTTAGTATGTTTCTAGCTATATCTATAAAAGTCTAATTCCTTTTCTGATGAAATAGATGGAGACTGATTAAATAAATGTATATATGTCTGTGGAACATTCACCTGTGACATATTTGGAGCTGATTAATGCCCTACCATCACAATCTGCAGTGTAATTCTCCAGCTGGTTTTATAGGCCCTTTTTAAAAAGGAAGATAGAATATGTACACAATTCTTGTGGGCCCTTTTTAAAAAAAAATCACAATAGTATGCTGCTTCCCTCACTAACACACACAATGTCGTAGTATATTGCTTTTTGTTTTTTTAAACTAGCAAACACATTTCCCCAAAGGTGTGGTTTCAAGGGTAAGACTGAAACAGGATTCTCTGCTATGCTTTTTTGATTGAAAAAAAAATGAATTTTATGTTGTCATTATGCTCTTCTTTATTCTAATATGCTGATTTTTATATGCATCGGGTATTATAATATTTAAATGGTCATTCTATGATTTTAACTGTGTATTTCTTGTAGCAAACATGTTGTGGAATATTATTGTCGTATTTATATCTGTTATGAATCAACACTGGGTATATTAATTGACTTGCCCCTGTTAAAATCAAATCTTGAGATTTGTTAAAATCAAATCTTGATGTATTGGACTGTTCTGGTATATAAAACTGAACAAATAGTTATTTTAATCAGCTAATCTTGCTCTTTTGAAAAATATACACAATTAGATGACTACCCCAATGCATTCTTAGCCAACATTAGGAATCAAGTAGAGTAGATGGGAGATTTAGAGAGAAGATGAATACGGCTATAATTTAGCTTTCCATAGGGAGTTTTCACCACAGTGTAATAAATGTAAATGGCACTCTGTTCTTACAGATTTTCTTGCTTGAAACTCAATTCATTTGCATTGTGCTAGGTAGATAGAGTGTTAGTGGAACACATAAAGTAATGGTGATATTATCTGTTCCAGATCAGGGCTGAAAAACTGCTTGATCAGCAACGGATGGCCATTATGTTGGATTGCTATAGTACAGACCCTCTCTATCAGCAGCTCTTCATCAATCTGGTAAGAGTGAAGCCAACTTTGAAAACAAACGCTTCCTCCATGAACAATATGTTTGTTATATTTTCTCTTCTGTTTATGACGGCTCTGTCAGCTACACTGATTTACATAAACACTGCCAATCCTGGGACTCTACTCTCTCAACAAAAGTAGCTGAGTACAAACAGCATTCCTGAGTTTTAATTCATATTATATAAACATAACAGATGTTGATACAATGAGCCAACAAGAAAATACAACAAAGACAACCGTTTCAAGGGATTTTGTGATTAAAACACATTCCAGATTGGCAAAAAGATAAAATGATAATGGAACAAATCATTTAAACGTCAGTACTTGATTCTTGCAGATTTGCAGCGACATAATGTATGGCAATGCTCTGGGGTTTTAGCTCATCTCTAACTATACTCCAAACAACCTAGCAATGAAAATCCCATGTCTGTTTTCTCTGAGATGTTTTGACATTCTTATCCTAACTGGTGCACCAGAAAGCTGTAGCCAAAGGCAACTCAGTTCTGTTGAGTCCCTTGTGAAGTGACTATGAGAATATACACCAATGTGCAACATTTTATTGTCTTGAACATCATTATTTAGCTGAAATTAGTTGGGAACCAGGTGTCATAATATATTTTCAATGAAGCAAATCCTTTAGGAGTCAGGCAGCATATTTTACACAGGATGAAGCTTCTGAATTATCATGAAGGTCAGTCTCTGCAAGAGTCCATGATACTAGCTTAGCCAAAGAATCATAAATACAACAGTTTCCAAAAATGAAAGGGTTTTTTGTCTTGACATTTTATTTCTTAGCAATTGTCAATTTATACAAATGGACAAAATACACTTGATAGTGGTGATTGTGATCCTAACTGTCCTACACAGAGATAATTTCCATGGCTGAATGTACTTTGTTCATACATGGAAACAATCCCCGTACAGAAATTCAGAATATCACGTTTGAAATGACATTTAGCCTTAGAGCATTCTTCAGCTTAGAAAGTCTTAAATTTGGGGGCAACAGCGTACCCCATTTATTACATAATATTACATGATATCATAAATATGTAACAAGTCCTAGTTGCCAAGGGTCAAACTAAAGGAAGTGCTTGTATTTTGAAGAATTGCTTCCTCCAGATATCTGTCTTGAGGTATGCCTGTTTGTCATTCCATATGCTTTTCCTTATCTCTGTATCTTGCATCTAGCATGCGTTATGTTGTGAGTTTTAACTGAAACATAACACAGACTTAATTTGTAAGGCATATACTGCTGAAGAAAGCATGTTGTGGAAATAAAACAAGCTCATTGAAGGGAATATACATTCTCCTTTATGCCCAGTTTGACCCTGTTTTATAGATGTGTTATATGACAATTGCTTATTTTCATACAAAATCCTGGAATATACAACAACATTTACCCTTAACTGCTCTACCCTTTGTGTGCTGTTATTCCAATAATAACTTGATTCTCCTTACCATATGATACTGATTTATTTATTTTAAATACAAGTGGGGCAATTATGTGGTCCTATGTCACTGTTAAGTTTTGTTTGGTAATATAGACATGTTACAGTTACATTCCTTCACTTTCTCTTTCAGGAGCCATATATAAACAAATCGGCAATGTCCGTTCAAGCTCATTTCTCACTGCAACTCACGTACAACATCTTTCGGTCTCTAGGCCTTCGCCATCTGACAGTCGTTGATTTGCAGAACCAAGTCATTGGTATAATTACCAGGAAAGATCTGATAACTTTCCAGAGTGAAGAGAAACTGGGGCTTCAACAGTCAACACAGCAGCCTCAGTCTGATGATGAGCTTTTAGACTAGGAAGTTATCTGAATAATGAAATATGAGTTTCCCAAGCTTTTGTCTAATTTTATTTTGCTTTGCTTTGAGTTGGACACTCTTGCATTCTGCTGGATAGCTCAGTGATTTAAGTATCTGCAGAAGTTGGGAGTTTGATTCTCCCACTGTGCCTCCTTGACAGAGGTTGGATTTTATGATCCATAGGGTCCCTTCCAGCTCTTCAGTTCTAAGATTAGTATTAAAATGAAACATAAACATAGATGCTCTTCTTTGAACAGTGTAGTTCTGGAAAGTAGTGTACTTATCTCAAATTAAGACATTTAGGGGTCACCGCAAACTGAGAGATGGATTTACTAAAGGTAAGGCACATCCAACTATTTTGTAGCTCTCACACATTTATGTAATGCAGCCTACAAACCATTTTGTTATTATGTGCCATTAAATTACCTCCAATTGATGGCAACCCTGTGAATGAGTAACTTTCAAAATGTTCTCCCATTAACAGCCCTGCTCAAGTCTTGCAAACTCAAGGCAGTGACTTTCTTTATGGTGTTGGTCTTCCTTTTTTGCTGCTGCCTTCAAATTTTCATAGCATTATTATCTTTTCCAGTGAGTCTTGTTTTCTCATGATGTGCCCAAAATAGGATAGCCTTGTTTTTGTCATTTTTGTTTCTAGAGACACTTCAGAATTGATTTGATCTAGGGCCCTGTTATTTGTTTTTCTCGCAGTTCATGGTATTCACTAAACCCTCCTTCAATACCATATCAAGCATATCTACGAACAAGCAACAGATCAAAAAGAATGGTGATTTGTTAGAAAGGGAACAGAGGCAAAATGCAGACTGAATGCAGCCACTCATTTGGGGAACAGCAGAGGCTGAATAAACTAGGGTCTTGATTAAACTGGTAAAAGAAATAGTATTTGAATTGCATTAGGCTGCAATTGCATTAATGTTCAAAAAGTTGATCACAAGATGCACAGTGGATCTTGTTTTTTTCTCCCTTGACTTGTGTTACTCTGTTCAGAAGCGCATCATTTAACCTCCTCCTGGCAGAATTGTTTATCTTGGGGCAGAGTCATGGTCTAATTCCTCAAATTCCCCAGTTTGCCCTCCTCTCCTGCCATACATTTCTCCCTGCCTGATTGCCTTCTGCCACCCTGCTCCTTGACTCTCTGTCCCCTCACTCGCCCTCCTTGCCTGATCCGCTCCTTACCAGCACTCTTGCTTGCCTCCCAGCCCCCTCACTTGCCCTCCATGCCTGATTCCCACATTAAAAGTATTTCCAAGAGATTAGTGTAAAGATGCAACACTTTAATCACTATCTCAAGGAGACACAGATAACAATTCATATACCATGTGACTTTAAATCACAGCAGAGAAATCAAGACAAATGAATTATGCAATGAACTACTTAACCTTAATAACTAGTTCATTACATAACTCAGTTAACCTTAAGAACTGAGGCAATATTTTCCTGACAGTGAGTACAGATACAGTATAACGTGCAAAGACAGTAAATCTTCTAGGACATCATATGCCCTTCTATAAAGAAACCCCCAAATAGTTTTTTCCAAACCCTGTTCTTAAGCTACAGCCTCCGCAAGTTGCTTGAGTAAGGTCTGAACTTTTATATTACAGGTAATCTGTCTTTAAAAGATGCATTTAGATTTATCACTGAAAGCATATGATTGTCAAAGCAGTTTTCCTCACTTCCCATATCTTACGAATTACCTTGTTTTGTATGGTTCAAGAGCTTCAAGAGCTAAGCATACTTCTGTTTGCAAGCCTTATCACTCAGACACAAGTATGTGTTTGGAACACAAAGGGATTTTGGCGTAATGATGGATTGCCTCTTGCATATGGTTTGATTCTAGGTGTGTGACCTATTCGAGCCTTAAAACGTTTTTCTTGCCTTACTGTGGGTTGAATGGCCCTAGCTGGCAACTCCTGGCACACATTTTCATCTTCTTGGTGCCTTTAGTAGCTTACCGGTGACTCACCACAATATGTCCTTCATGTTCGCTGCCCATTCTAGCCACACTGCCCTACCCTATTGAACGACACCTCTGAATTCCCACTCCAAATCAAATGTTCCTGGAGATTCAGCATAGAATAGGAAAACTCCTCACATGATATCAGCCAAACTGAGGATGTGATCAGGCAGGCAGGCATTTAACCCACTGTTTTGTCCACTGTGAGGAATGGGTTGGGTCACTTCTTTTTCCAGTGTTTGCACAACATAATCCGTGAATGAACCAGCTTATTCCCAGAGCATCCGTACCCTCATTTTTCGAGGGGCTTGTCAGGGGCTTTTACTTTTTGGTGTGGGTAGGATCACTCTGTTTTCAGCATGTGCTATCGGTAGAAATGAATGAAATCAAACCTTCAGCTGACAAGGCTCCTTCGCTGTCAGTTTGTCATATCATGAAGTGGCTTAGGAAGAAAGCTACTTCAGGATACTGACAAATTAAATACAAACTTTGCTGCTCTGTAAACTTTATTAGGTCAGTGAACATGTGCTACATCATATCTGCAATTTTTAAAAAACTTCCTCCTGGAAGTGGGAGGAGACAGGAGGGAGCAACAAAGGGCTTTGACATGACTTGTCTTTGCCAAGAATCTGTGGATTCCCATTGTGATGTAGTGGACAGAGTGATGGACTCTGGAGAACAGGGTTTCAATCCTCACTTGGCCATGGAAACTAACTGGAGCAGGGGTAGACCTAGTAAAACCACTCCTTAGATGTGTCCCTTACCTTGAAACACACACACACACACACACACACACACGAGCACGCACACGAGCACGCACACACTTTCAGATGCAGGCAGATTCTAAGCTGTGCCTTTAAGACAAGTCAAAGGGGGGGGGGTAAAGCCCCCCCTCCATGCCTCCCATTTGCACTTCTGGGAATAAGTTCTCTTTTTTTAAAAAAAATTAGTAAGTGGTGAAGTACAGCCTGCTTCAGGGGGAAACAAAAATGGCAGTCCCTTTGCTTATTGCATCCCAAATGCAGGGACAAATATTCGAGCTCACATAAACAGAGTGTAGATTTTCCCATATTTTATTTCAGCTGTTTTTCCTCCAGAAGAAGGCAAGTACATTTCTTTGTGGTGATAGCATCAACTAGACAGTTCTTTCTTAAGTATCTTCATGTTAATGGTATTTCCCTCTGAGTTAAATGAGTTCAACTTGTAGTATTGTGCAACATTTATGACAGGAATCTTTTCTGCTCTTTTACCAATAAATAAAACCTGAATAGGAGTTGTTTGATCACATCCTTATGTGTAAATGAACAAATCCATATAAAAGGTTGCTTGCAGGAATATATGAGTCATTTTATGAATATTTTTTTATTAGAGTTCATGTGAGTATAATAAAGAAAATAATGCTCATGGAGTACATGACCAAATTATTTTTCAGGAAAACAAAAAGACTGAAGGGATATACATTTAGGCAGTCACCACTTGCTAAGAACAGAGTCACTGGTAAATAAATAATAAGGTTTACAACAAGGATGAGTCTGATGGAGAATATGGTGCTGGTGTATCACTTCATGAAGTCTTCCTTTAACATCCTGCTTCTTTGTGATATTATGAATGAATAAACTACCTGCTTCGCTTTTCTTTGCTTGAGTTTCAAAATGGGGGTAAATAGCATCTTTGAGACATTGTTATATTCATTTGTGTGTGCACGCATAAGCATTGAAGACAGAAATCTTTAGAGAATGTCATTGTATTGGAGGGGGGAAGGGGGGAAAGGATATAAACCACATATTTTTTAAAAAATATGTTTTGGACTACAACTCCCAGAACCTTACTCAAGCATGGTGAAATATTTTTGTGGGGAATATTAACTCAGAGAACTGCAGAATAAACCCTTATCCGAATTGTCCTTAGTTTAGTCCTGCTTTCTGGTGTTGGGTGGAAATGGGGATTACTATTTTTTTAATTTCTCAGAATAATGTACAGTATTAGCTTTGCCCTTTCACTCATGCTTCTTTCCTAAGATTGCCAAATCATTAAGAAAAATTTTCTGGAAGATTCCAAATGTGGATGAGGATCCTCAGCTGTGCGGCTTCTGCTGGTCAGTCAGGCTTTGAAGCCAAAAAGCTCATACAATACTCCAGTGCCATTGGCAATTTGCTCTGCAACCCTTCATAGCTTTCTCAATGAATTACATGTATTGGTGAAAGGAAGTCAAAAGGCCATAACTGCTTGTAGCCTTCTTTTTGACAGAACACCATTGATGGTGTAAATGTCTGTCTATCAGTATTGGAAAGGGAGTGATTTGGATGATATGATGGAACCCTTTGGGTCAGACTCTAGGTGTGGCAATTTTTTTCCATTTGATAATTGCTAAAATGTCATAGCTCATTCCTGCAAAATGAATCTCTTCTTCCAGCATGTTAGTTCATGAAGACACCTTCACCTGCTTTAGCATAAGATTTATTGCCTTCAGCAAAGCACACTTTTGACATGTTGCAGGGTGAGGATGAATGCTAAACCAACATATGCACTCAGTGAAGAAAGCAGAATTTTCTGCTTATTTCTGTCATGTTTCTTCTTGATTAAAAATGCATGTGTTAAAAGACTCCATTGTGTCCCTGTTGTATTTGTTCTTGGATTTTCCTTTTGCAGCACTTTTTGTTTCCTCAGGTTATGATATGATATATACAACCCAGCTGTGAATAGGAACCACTAGATGTCACTCTTTCCAACATGTTCACAAAATTCAGCAAGGACGTGATTTGTGAACGAAATGAGTCACCCACGTAGCCCACCATGTTTGAATAGAACTGTAGCACCACAGACTGCAAAAATGATCTCAGTAGATGTTTATCATTTTTGGACCATTTTCAGTGGTTTAGTGCCAAGTGAAAAGATGATACAAGTAGAACTACTGTCCCAAGGCATAATGTTCAAAGCCTCCACTAGCTTAACCCTTCAAATCCTGTTTTGGAAAAAAAAGAAATTATTGAAAGTTGGTTAGTGATTCAATTTCAGTTCCTCCAGTTTAGCCAAAGGAGCAACCTGTTGTTCTCTTTCACGAGGGG